TGTTAATATGTCTACAATCAACTAAATCCATTCTCAGGCACAATCTTTTTGTCTTAATAAGGCTAAAACAAGTATAAAATTTCAGGAAACAACTCTGATTTTAGGATGAAACAATCCCATAGGAGAGTTCTCATTCTTTATCCCGAAGTCTTCAACAACAAAAAACAAAAATAACGCAAAATACCATCAACTTGAAAAAGAGAAGCACTTTTGTGTAGTCAGCTGAAAGGATTGGTGTTATATACCAGAGGTATGTTACATTCTTTTGGTTCTTTATCCAATTAGAAAATTATTTTGGAAAAAAAATGACAACTGTGTATATAGTCATGGGAATTTGGAGCCTCATGACGAAGCCGGGTTGGAATTACAAAACACTTCCCAAAAAGTATTGTTCCAATTATGTACTCCACCACATCAGAAGTAGTTTTTCAGTAAAAAATATGATGTTGATTGTTAGACTGACAAAACTGTTGCAATCCAACTTTCATACATGCAAAATACGTCCAAGAGGCAATATCATAGATTAAGAGCAAGCTCCATGATCATGCAGACCTGTGTTGAATTCTCCTTTCATAGAGTGCAATAGAAGACAACCCGATCCTGTTTCCTCACTTGTAACATGAATATAATAGAACCTATCTCTTTTAGGGCTGCTGTGAGGATAAAATGAGAGAACACATGTGACATGCTAAGAAGAGTGTCTGGCACATGGTGAGCATCGCTAAATGTAGTCCTGACTATATGTTCTAAGAACAGCATTTTGTTCCTTATCTAAAATAAGAAAAACTCCCAAGAAAACATTACAATTAAAAAAAAATTCCGTATAATAATCTTTGTCAGTTTTCTTTGCAAAATGTTCTTTCAGGAAATGGAACCAGAAGACTTCGTTGTTTTTGCAATAAGTTGGGATGAGACTGTATTTGTCCCAGAATCCTTTCTTCTCCTCAGTGCAGTTTGTATGGTGCTCCCTGAACGAAAGTGTAACAGTAATAATGCCATCATTGATAAGAATTATATTTTAAATAAGATTAGATGTCATAATATTTAAATGAATCTTTATATACAAAATAATAAAATATATGTATCAAAGAGACCAGAGCTCTAAAGAGTTCATTTTTGCCACTTTTTGAGTACTTACAGAAATTAAGCACCCATAAAATAATCTGCCTTACATTATAAGAAATAGACAAATTGAAATCTCTCCCCCAACCCTTCCATCTAAATGTGGGAAAGAGCTATTTGCAGCAAGACTAGAAGTAAAGTTTGTCTGGGAGCACTGCTGCTACCAGAAAGAACCCTAATGAGAGATCCCATGTATTTCTGCAGCAGCTGTCTGTATGCAGGCCTACTTATTCAGGAATCATACAAGCTCATCTTAATAGGGGTCTAACTTCACCAGCAGACAGGGTGAAATTCACACATTTGGCCTAGCTCACTGTTTACAAAGGAAGCACAGCTAGTCATTACATTTAATTAGATTGCAATTATATGACAGAATATTATACTTACATTTTCATATATGTTAACTGGGTATCTTTGTCCGCTAAATAAGATTTATGTCTTCTATACCAGCTGTCTTTAGTTCAAAGCTGGGGATCTTTGGGATGCTGGTATATGGGAAAGTATGTTAAAAGGGAGGGAAGCAGACAGCAAAAGCAAACTAAGTCTACTTAACTATTTTTGCCTTTAGGCCAGCCCTGAGGTTAGAAGTGAAAAAGAATCAGACAATAGGCACAGGTGACATAACCAACCAAGCTGTCCTTATATGTACAGAGACTAAGACTCCATAGGGTGATCTGAAGAGTGCTGACAGATTCCACCCCTCTCATAAAAGTCCCCTCAGAGAGAGAGTCCCTGAGTGGTGTGGAAAACACCTGCAGTATTTGCTCCTGTGTGTTATCTTTGAAGGTTCTCATTCAAATGCCATGGAGCAGAGGGGAGACTATAACACATTAAGAACTTGTCAATCATCATGGTCTCATTTGAATTAGATCAAAGGAACAGCTTTGTGGCCAGCTCACAGAGTTCAGAGGAATGAAACAAAATAATAAAAGAAGGACATTACGGAAGGTTTTCTTTATAAACAATGTCCTTAAAAACTTTACATAGGTGTTACTGTAGTAGGGACTATTAGTACAAAGTAAGGACTATAATTATTTTCCTTTTGCAGATAAGGAAACAGCTTCTCAGAGGAGCTAAGTAATCTACTTGAGATCACACAGCTAGTAATGGGAATAGCAAGCATCTGAACCTGGGGCTCTCCCTCTCAAGAGAATGACTTCTCCACTACTAACATTTGAATAAGGGAAACCCAGACCACCATTGGGTAACAGGTACCTGAGGGACTGGGGCACTGAAAGGTAATAGCTATTTGTCCATAATCTGTAACTTTTGATTAGGAAGGAGGAATCAAGAAGAAAGACCAATGTATTATCAGACAATTAACATGCTGAATAAAATAAAAATACTCTCAATCTTCCAGTGGTTCTGTGGATTTCAGGCTACTAATGCTTTCCAACTGTCATATTCTATTCTATCAGAAAGTACAAGAAGATATGAAAAAATCACTTAGATGACTACTTTGAATGAATATGTATGGAAAAGGTTGATAATTAGCTGTCAAATATCAACTATATTATCCTATAACCTTCTTGAAATCATCACTTTTATCTTCAATTAATTTTTATCTGTAGCTACTCTTCTATAATCTCCATTTTAAAAACCTATTTTTCAGAAAGCAAAACATTGGACGTAGGAGATGTCTTTTTGACTAGTCTTGAAATAGATGCTGGATAAAGCTAGTGCATGTTCTACAGAGTCCAAAGAATCTACTTTTTGACATATTTCTTGATAATAGTTGCCTCTAAGTATTTACAACTGAGTTCTGAGCACCAATTTACATATTCATAATCTCCAGTTGACTGAAATTTGACATCATTAAGCGCAAGTCATCAATATCTCATGAAGCTGTAGTGAAAGCTTCTCTGGGTGTTTTATGGAAATAACAAAATATATTTGCTCATACATGATAAAAAATACATTTCAACAATATAAAAATGTAGAGCATCAGTTTTCATTTTACTGCATTAAGCTCTTATTCAGTCTAGTGTACTGATACTATGCATACAAATGTTACATTGGTTAGTAGAAGGTCAGTGTATTTGGAAAATATGTTTAAGGTTTTTTTTCTCTTTATAGTTACATCATAAACAATTTCATTATATCATACACGTTATCTTTTTATTTTTTTTCAACTAATTATCTTACTCTAGAAAACTTGTATTTTACAAAGACTAATGATATATGAGATATTCTTCAGGTCAACTTCTACCACAGCACAATCATGTTGAAAAAAAGGAGTAAGAATTTGGGATATTTACATTTACTACCAATTTTATTTTTTGAGACAGGTTCTCACTCTGTCTTCAGGGCTGGAGTGCAGTGGCATAATCAAAGCTCACTGCAGCCTTGACCTCCTGAGCTCAGGTGATCCTCTCCCTTCAGCCACCAGAGTAGCTGTGACTACAAGTGTACACCACCATGCCTGGCTAATTTTTTATATTATTTTCTAGACAGGGTTTTGCCTCGTTGTCCAGGCTGGTCTAAGTCCTGAGCTCAGGTGATCTGCCTGCCTTGGCCTCCTAAGTGCTGGAATTGTAAGCATGAGCCACTGTGCCCAGCCCAATATTTTTGAAATGTATGCGTTATGTGGAGGATATTATAGATTTGTAGTCAATTGCTCTGTTACTCATTTACAACTATTTCTTAGAGGTTACCCGTAAGATTTATAATACATATATATGTAATTTGCATTTTTAAACATTCAGGTTAATATGCAGTTTTTAATATGTAAATCTATTTTTTAAACACTCAATATTACATCTACACAGAAACATTTCTCCCTTCTGTCAACTGTGAGTGTGTGGCAAATAGACATTTGAGGATGGCTTTTTCATGATAACTGTTTTCCCCCGCATGTTATGTGAAGGGAAATTTCATTTTATGTGAATCCAAATGATACTATATCTCAACGATACAAACAAATTATTTTAAACTTGTGTTTTAAGCAATGTAACAAGTGCTTATTAAAAGATTTTTTACTTTTCCTGTATGGTAAATTTTTGATGGTTGTGGTCACCATGCTTATACCAAGTATATATATATATATATATATAGTATATATATACGTATAGTATATATATTTAGTGTCACATTGGTCTACTGCTGACTTTCCATCTCCATCATACTCCAAGTGTTAAAGCTTGGCATATGCAGCTTCTGTGTCTGAGGTGCTCTTCTCTTAGTCTGTCACCTGGCCAAATGACACTTGTCATTCTAGATCAGCATCCATGTCACTGTTTTAGAGAAACTTCCCATGACACTAAATCTAACTCAAGAACCTTTCTATTAACTTCTCATTGTAGGTGTTTCTTTCCATCTTTGCACTTCTTACAATTTTTGATCGTCTTGTTTAATTATTGCTTTGATATCAGTTATATTTAATCATCACACCAGCTCTACACAGTACTGGGTACATTTATTATCCACACTTCACAGATGAGGAAACTGGCTCTTTGCTCCTAAATGTTAATTACCTATCATGGTGCCTGGCTCATATTTATATACTCTAAATGTTTGTTGAATAAAAAAAAAATTGATTGAACCAGTTATCTCTTAGAGTTGAAATTTGACCCTCTGGACCTGATGGACAAAATTCATCAATGAGAACTGGGTTTGAAACCTGCCTGCCTATATGACCCTGATAATATACACCCTCTGAGCCTCTATTTTTCATTAGTAAAATGAGTATAACATCTATTTCATAGAGCTGTAGGATTTAATGAGATAATATAATCAAAATAATCTAACTTTAATAATTTGAAATCAAATTTGCAATCATAATTTGTATTCATATATCTTAATTCTAGCCCCGGTATTTAAAGAGCACCTCTCACCTCTTCAAAAGATAGTCTTTCAAATAAAATATCTTGCCTTTTTTCCTTCCAGTTAATTGTTCCATCTTTCTTAAATTGTATTTCTGTTTATCGATATATTACTTCATTCAATAAATATTTTCCGGGTACAATTACTCATAAATACCATCCTCATAGAACATACAACTAAATAATGAGCTAAATTATGCAATTAATCATTCAGAATCAGAATCGTCCTCAATACTTGTTAAAGCAGATTGCTGGGCATCATTGCTACAGTTTCTGATTCCACAGGTCTAGGGTGAGCCCTGATAATTTTCATTTCTACCAGATACCATTGCTGCTGGTCCAGGAATCACATTTTGAGAACCAATCAATTAGAACATAATGATATATTTGCCCAAGAAGATGTGAAATATTTGGGAAGGAATAAATAACGTTTTAAAACATATATCAGGAATTTGATGGAGAAAATGGTGTTGGCTCTGGCCTTGAAAGATGGGAAACGATTTGAATGAGGTTTCATGTTTTTATCTTCCAGGTGAAATAATCATATTTGAATCAATTTGACAACAGATAATTTGATAATCCCATAATTGAATATAAATTGAAGATAAAGTATAAAATTATGTTTGATAGAAATAAAGGGCAAACATATATCAAAAATGACAGCTTTCTTATATGAAAAAACTCATGCTACAGATTTATTGGAGGAAACTAACGTGTGTATATATACATGTGTGTTTGTGTGTATATACTTATATGCACACAGTGGAGGAAATAAATTAAAGAACTTTTGAAGAGTTAAATGAAACATTGTACATTATAGTACCTGACTCTGGCCTAAGGAACACATACTGACTCCAACTTAGTAATTCAGTTATTACATTGTCAGTGTTTTTCTCTTTTTAAATTCTAGAAATTGCTGGATTTATAAAATACATATTTTTCTGCAAAATATTGATAAGTTAATAGAAAATAGCTGGTTATAGGTTAAACTGAGTGGGAATTCACAAATCCTTTTACATTTTCTTTCATTGAAAGACAAAAATTACAATGTATAAAAAAAAGATTGCACACGTATAACAGAGCATGCTACTGTGGAGGGCTGGATGAATCTTAACACCTGATGTGTTATTCTCAAGCAGGGCAAATGCAGGGTCTGAGTCAGTTTGCAACTTCAAAGGTGAGACTTAAAGGGAAATCTGAAATTTCACAGCTGAATGGAATTGACATCAGAAATATAATCAATAAACTGATGGAAAATACAAATAATGGATCATAAACAAAGTATAACATGCAAATTTACATATCAATTCTGCCATCATCAATACGATTAAGCAGTTCTTTATGACCACACCCAGGGGTGCACCACAACTGACTCAAACACATTAGCAACTCTGCACTTTCAGGCATCATGTTGGTGTTTGAAATTGGCCATGATGGCAATATTCACACTATGAAAATTTGCAAAGTCTAAAAATCAAAACTTTTCTTTTTTTTTTTTTGCAAAGCCAATTGTTAAACATTCACCCTTTTCAACTTTAAGCTCTCATTTCTTGAGACTGATATAATGAAAATTTTGATTACATGGACATTGTAAGGTGATGAGAAGAAAGTTAAATATTTGAATTTACTATGCTAAAAAGAATTTAGTATATATATTTAAAATGTTTACAATGTTACAGATGAGTTATAAATATTTTACATTCATGATCACAAGCATCTTTGGAGGAAGATATTATTAATTAATTATTTTACAGAGAATGAAACACAAATTCATAAATGTTAAATAACCAAGGCTTATTCTTTTCTTAATTGAAATAAATATATATTCTTATAGTACCCAACATGATGTTTTAATATATGTGTACAGTTTGGAATGACTAAACCAAGTTAATTAACATATCCATTACCTCACACACATATTTTTGTGGTGAAAACATTTAAAATCTATTTTTGATTAGTAAGATTAATTGCCTCCATAAGTCAAAAATATACTTGAGGAATACTTCTTTCTCCCTCATTCTTGGGAACAAGAATAACTGAATAGAAGTTGAAAACCAGTTCTCTATTTTTTAACAATAAAGATGATATAATTTAAAAATAGAGTTTTAGGTTGTATTAGTTTAAGTATAAGAAAAAACACTCTCAATAGTAAAAGGTTTTATGAAATCCAGTTCTCTTAAATTTTTTAGAACATGCAGACTGACTTTACATACAAACCTCAAGAAAAATTTGATTATTTTTTGAACTCCTTTGAAATCTAGTAATTTTGTGATATGGCTGGGTATTTCTAGAAAGAAATACATTTGGTATGAGGAATTGAAGGAATACACTGTAATGCATGATAAAAGTTTATTAAATTTCATTTTAGTTACAAGCAAGCCATTATAAGATATGGAAAGCTAAACATTTCTACTCAAAATTTTTTCTAATTTTATTTCCTTAGGGCAAAGTTTAACTCAATAAATTATCTCTTCCGTATAATGGCATATGCTTCTGCATTGATGACAGTTTTACATATAGTTTTGTGAATCTCCTTCTTGCTCTCATTAAAAAGTTGAGAATTTACAACACACACACACACACACACACACACACACACACACGCACGCACACACTCTGACCAACTCTAATGATCTTAATTGAAAGTTTGCACAGTCCAAGTGATATCCCTATGTTAGGTCAAACAAATAATTTTTTAAAGCCCTAGCTTAGTAAATTTCAACAGAAGTTTTAGAAACCTTAAAGACTAAATATTAAATGTGAGAGTTTTAAAATTAAAGGAATAAAAATTTCATAAAGAGGGAAAACAAGTAGATAATATTCAAAAAAAGCCAGATGCTTAATAACATCCTGATTAAATGTTTTCACAAGCTGTATCACTTATTATAATTATCTATAAGAAGATAATTCTAGATGTGAAAAGAATGTAATAAAGTTGTGTGCATGTGATATGCTTTTGCACATGTGCAGGTGTATTCCCTAACATAAATTGCACATCAACTGTGAAGTTTTAGTGTCGAGAAGTATATTTGGCATTAAAGGAAGATTCAATTACTAATTATTTGTTAAGTGACTAAAACACCTTCCATGTGCCAGCTCAGGGCTAGGCACCAAAAAGTTTTCTACCCACATGGAACTTAGAGTACATTACAATAAAAATGTTCTTTAATATCCATGTCTTCATTTAATTTCTTAAAAAAATTCACTAGTAAATTAAGAATATATATTTGATTTACAGACTTAGGCTTGAAGATGTAAAAATAGCCCACTGGGGGCCGGGCGCGGTGGCTCAAGCCTGTAATCCCAGCACTGTGGGAGGCCGAGGCGGGTGGATCACGAGGTCAAGAGATCGAGACCATCCTGGTCAACATGGTGAAACCCCGTCTCTACTAAAAATACAAAAAATTAGCTGGGCATGGTGGCGCGTGCCTGTAATCCCAGCGACTCAGGAGGCTGAGGCAGGAGAATTGCCTGAACCCGGGAGGCGGAGGTTGCGGTGAGCCAAGATCGCGCCATTGCACTCCAGCCTGGGTAACAAGAGCGAAACTCCATCTCAAAAAAAATAAAAATAAAAAAAATAAAAAAAAATAGCCCACTGAAGGTGTTTGGAAAATAATGTGCAGTTTTCCACACATATGATGAACTAACAAAATATATACATGTAGACAGATAGATAGATAGACAGATAGATAGATAAATTGATCTTGAAAATAAGACAGGGCCAATTTTCAACATAGTATATTATTAAAAAGTAGGTACTTTTATTTCATATTAATAGCCCAAATCCAAGCTTTCCAAAGGAATCATATTATGTTCTATGTGTAAATTCTCAGTTGCCTTATTATAAAATACTTTATTGTCTTAACAATTTGTTTTCTTATTAAATGTTATCTTCAGAATAGTCTTACACATAATTCCTAAATGTTATGTAGTTTATGCTCTTTTGTTTAAAACTTTTAAACTCAAATACATTTTCTCTAACTTTTAAGCTAAATAGAATTAAGAAGACAGCAGCAGCAGCATTCAGCTTAGAGTGTAGGTGACAGTTGAACAGTTTGGCAATTTGGAATAGGTGATGCAATTTTATTATATGGAAGTGACTCATTATTTCATCACTGAGTATGATTTCTGGAATTGTTATTTGGAAGCAAATGTGTGAGGTAAATACTCTTTGAAAAACATAAATGATTTCTCATCATGACTTGTTCATCCTGAATAATAAATAAATGTAAGACAATGACTTAAAGGTAATTGAAATGCTATACTTTTTCTTCATGAGAAATGAAGATACATTAAAATATAGCCTAAAATAGAAAAAAATGAGTTATACAATTAATTCAGAAGTACACAGGAGGAAACACACCATCAAGTATAAGATAATTTCTGTTCCATAAAATTAATTGATTATTAAGGAAACCAACATATAGTAAACACATGCTATGTGCTGGAACAGTGGGCTTAGAGAGAACATAGTAGTTCCTGACCTTAAGTTGCTTATGAAAGTGAAACAAATAGGGCAAAAATGTCCCCCAGAATCCATTTTTCATTTCAACAAATAAATCCCCACAATTTTTTTACTGGACAGATGCCTGCCTTTGTTGAGATTACTTTTTCTAGCCTTTCTGTATCTAAGTAGTAGACAGGAGGATGGAGGCAGGTGAAGTGTGCAACTTAAAGCATGAAGCTACCTGCCCTGTCATTTCTCTTTCTTCCCCTCCCATAGCATAGAGTATCAACAAAGTAAGGACCCAGCTTCAACCATGTAGAAAAGAACAACAGCTAGGTGATGCAGAGCAAACAAGGTGGAATAAATCCAGGTGCCTGAAAGACTACAAGAGGGAGAGCAGCTCCACCAGCCTCCTCTACTCACTTCTAGGGTATTGCACCATAGAGAAAGAAATCTAAATCTTATTAGCGTCATGGCATTTTGAGAGCTCTTTGTAACCACAATTTAGCCAATCCCTGTTATAATATATAAGCATACAATTGTTATTGTACCCTAGATATTCCCTGACAGTCTTGCTTGCCAATTAGTGTTCTTAATTTCCATAAAAGTCAACTCCATTATTCCAATTGTTTAGGCCAAAAACTTGGAGTCATCTTTCACTCCTCACTGTATCTCACACACCATTTAGAGTCCAATCCATTAGTAAATACTATTGGCTGAGCATTTAAAATTGTTCCTAAATTTGACTATTTTTCACCACCTCCATTTTTTAGCCACCTTAGCCCAAGTCATCATTATCTGCCTCTTTGACTATTTAATAGCTTTCTAGCTGATACATGTGCTTGTCACCAGAGAGTTTATTCTCCATAGCTGGAAGAAAGTTCCTTATTAGCCACAACTTAGAGCATGCTGCTCTACTGCTCAAATCCTCCTGTGGATTTCCAACTTAATTTCAAAAAAAATAAAAGTTATTAGAATGTGTTACAATGCCATCAGAGCTCAGTTATATAATTGGTTTTGTTACCCAACTCCCCCACCTGCACCCCTGTAATGCCTCACTCCACTCATGACACATTGGCTTCCATACTGCTGATTGAACATGCCAACCATAATCCTCACTCAGAGCTTTGCATATTTATTCCCTCTGCATAAAATGTTCTTCTCTCCAGATATTAGCACTACCTATTATCACCTCATTCACGTCTCTGCTCAATGCTCAACTTACAGAGGTCTTCCCGACACCTCCCATAACATAGCAATCCCTTCCCCATCCCATGTCACTCTTTCCCCTTGCCATGTTTTCATTTTCATGGCCATTATTACTTCCTGTGTGTGTGTATGTGTGTGTGTGTGTGTGTGTGTGTGAGCGAGTGTATACCCACACATTTAAAAAAATAAATTGTGAGCTATCGGTTGAATGTTATAAACTTTAGCTATTTGGTCTCAATTGTCTTTCAGTGAAATGACCACAAGCCTAAAAGCCATAAATCCTAGGAGTTTATTCCTTGTATTATAACAATACAATATAAATATTTATTAAATTGTGTATTGTCCCCATTAGGATATAAGCACCATGTTAACAGAAACTTTGGATTGTGTCTGGAACAATTTTTTATGCAAAATAAGGATTTCATGAATGAATACATTGGAGAAATGTAATAAATAAAACCCAATCTGATCAATGTGCTTATAGAGAGGAACACAGGATGTTAGGAACTTCAGAGACAAGAGTCCAGCCCAGTCAGAAGGGGTCAGAGCAGGCTTCTTAGAAAAGCCAACTTCTACATCAACTCCAAGAGCAGTAGTGCGTTAGTGCATGTGTGCCAGACAGAGGAAAACGTACAAGTCACACAGAGAAGCGAGCATTCGAGGAAGTTGAGCCAGAGCTATGAAGTGGTGAGTGCAGAATCTAACAGGGAAGCAGGGCATATCAATGGGTAACGGCCACTCCCATTTGCCAGACACAGGACTTGACGCTTGACATATATTATGTGACAAATGAGGAAGGAATGACTAAAAAGGTTGGAGAATTCCTTCAAGATTACTTAGGTGGTTATACAGCAGAATCAGAATGAAAGTTCATGTCTGCCAAGTTCCAAAAAGTAGCTCTCTTTATTTCACTGTAGTCTTCCATCCTAAGGCATCTGAAGTTTTACCTTGGGAAGGCATTGGAAAACACTGAGAGGGGGGTGGACATGAACACATTTGTCCTTTAAAAAGTTCTTACTCATGGTCGCGTAGAGGATGTAGAAAGTCAAATAAACCTAGAGACAGGAAGGCCTATAAGAATTGTGGGGAAAATTCAGGCAAGAAGTTATAAAGTCCTCAATTAAAGCAGTAGCACACAGGGATACATGATTTTGATAGCCTGATAGACTGAATAGGATACGTGCAACAGACTTTGGAAATAATTCCTGGGTTTCTCATGTAGGCAAATGTTAGGGAGAAAAAGAGGTATCATTCACAAAATTGAGGGGAAAAAGTAGCTAATGTACAGAGAGTATTATCTCAAACATTTCAATCTAGTCACATAGCCACTTAATGCAGGATCTGGAAGAAACTTCCAGGATTTATGGTTTTTAGGCTTGTGGTCATTTCTCTGCAAGACAATTGGACTCCATGGCTAAAGTGTTTATAACATAAAACACAGAGAGACAAGAGGCAGAAAGCTAGTTCTGAAGTCTAGTTACACCAGGAAAGTCTGTACTTTGTAAAAACAAGAAACAGCATGTACTGTTGCAGAAAACACTGAACTATATAATTTGCGTAAAAGGCAAATCCTAAAATTAATTACTCATAACAATATAATGTCGTATGTGTTGGAGTCAGCCTTTTATTTTCCATTGTTGCTTACTTCATAAGGCCTTTTTATGAGAAGAAAGAAGTTGTTTTTCCAAGAAAAAGAAATAAAAACAGCATTTAAAAAAAATTAACTTATCCCAAGAAAATGCTAATGGTGGTGAAATATCCAAAACAAGCAAAGGTACTAGCAAATGAAAAAGCTCTTTGCAAAATGCATCACAAGAGAAATATGTAGGTATTTCAACATTTACTTAGCAAAAGAACTTTAAAAAAGACATCCAGTCGGTAGCTCACAATTTAGTTTTACAAATACACTGAAAGTACTACACTGGGACCGCATATACGATAATGTATTCTCTTGTTTAATTTGAGAGCATTATGGTATTAGAGAAGTTACTGAACTGAGACTTCAAAAGATAAAACAATGTACCTTCTGAGATTATTTTAAGTGAAAAATAAGCACAGTATAAAACAATTTCCTGTCTCCAAAATGTTGGTTGGATTCAAATATCTGTTTTCCCTTATTCTTTTAGATCAGTAAGTCTAACTACAAAAAGAAAAAAATTGAGTGTTCTACGACACTAACTCGGAACAAGCATTGGGGAACCCAATTCAATTCCCAAATTTTGAACAACAGAAAGTATACAAACAAAACCTAGAAAATGTATCAGGATACCTTTCATACAATGAAATGGAATGTAATTAGCAGAATAATAAGCACTTCAATTGAATTTACTTGCCAGCTGTTGATATGTATTGGCGATTTGCACTAGATTTGAATGTTAGCCTTTACAGAAATTTTTCTGCTTCTAATTTATCAAGACTATTTAAGAGATATTTCTTTTGTAACATGGTCCTATATATGTGTGATGTGGAGGAGAAGCATCAATATCTGGTATGTTGAACCTTAAACTAATCACTTTATTCTCTGAAATAAACAACCACCTGGTCATATTAGCCCTCAAGGCATATGCTTAAGGCAGTGGTTCTCCAACTCAGTCTCCAGACTTCATTATGCTATTAAATATTAGTGAAAATCTTAAGAAGCTTTTGATTATGTGGGTTACTTCTATGGTTACTTGCTCTATTTGATGTTAAAATGGAGAAATGTTTCAAATATTTATTCACTTAAAAATAACAGTAACAAGTCTCTTACATGTTAAATAATACATTTTAATTAAAAATTAACTACACTTTTAAAACAAAAATGTTAATACAAAGCATGCCATTGTTTTACACTTTGGAGAAATCTAACTGATGTCTAGCTTAATAGAAAGCAGCTGTATTCTCTGTTTCTGCATTCAGTCTGCTGCTATACCACACATCATGTGACCTATCAAAAACTTCACTGTATACTCCTGAAAGAATGAGACAGAAGACAGAAAAGATCGTATTATTATGAAAATATTTCTGACCTCAATGATCCCCTAAAAGTGTCCCTGACCACACTTTTAGAACTGCTGCTTTAAGAATATTAGTTTGCATAAAATAGGAAGGAATTTTAAGTTTACTAAAAAGATTTCTCATAAAGACTTAAAAAAATATTTATGAATATCTGTATCTATGAAACCTGTTCAATATCCAAATTTACTATTTATTATGATGCATGTAAAACAACTACTTTAATTAGAAGAGAACAACTTTCATCAATCTTCCCCCTATGCCTGGTTTAGTCATCAGAATATTACCTCCACATGGTCACCTCTCAATTGAGCTTTCAGGAATGTATATCTGAATGTGTAACTACTGCCAGAACAGAAAGCTTGACCAGTACTCTTAAAGATGAAATATCTCACTTTTTCCCATCTCAGAAAATGGTGCCATCATTCACTTAATTATTTACATTAAAAACGTACAAGTCATTCCTAATCTCTCTTTCTCTCACACTCACATCTAATCCATGAACTGCCAAATTATACCACCCTTCCTATACCTCCAACACTGCCATCGTGGCCCAAGCCACCATTATATTTTGCTTGGATTACTGGTATGGCTTCCCAAGTGGTATCCCTCTTTCTCCCACTACTCTATTATCCATTTTTTTCTTCCAAGATTATTAGTGGAATCCATTTTTCTACTCATAAAATGTAAATCAGACTATGTCTCATCTCAACCTAAACTCCTCTAATGGTCTCTAAATCTCTTAGAAAAGCAATCTACTTACAGGGCCCATGTATGCCCTTGCCTCTGCCAGCCATTCCAACCTGACCTTATGTTTTCTGTCTCTTTTAACATGTCAAGCTTTTCCTTACCTAGCTGTCTTTCTATTGCTGTTTACTTCATCTAGAATTCTCTATCCACACTTTTGTTTCATTCCTTCCTGTCATTCAGGTTCAAACTCAAATGCTACCCTCCAGGGTGCTCTACCTTGACCCACACAGTCATTGCCTCCATGATTCTTGTTCATCACCCTGTTTTATTTCATTTCTTCATAGACTTACTACCATCTGAAAGTATTTTCCTTATTTCTGTACACGGTTTTATCTTTTTCCTCTGCCACTATGACCAGAATGTGAGCTCTAGGAGAGACACTGTATATATGTTGTTCACTATAATATCCTCAGTGCCCACTGAGGCATACTCATCACTGAATAGGTATTTCTTGAATATAAGAACTAATAAATAATCAAATGAATTCAAATAAAGGAGAATAAAGATGATATATTGTAAAAGGAAGTTCATTATATGCTTTCTTTGGTAGTATCTCTCTGAGGAATACACAGAGTTTCAAATATTCATAGAATACACTTGTCAAAGTCACATCCTGATTTATCTCTAGCACCCTTTCTGCTTGTGGAAACACGTCATCTAAAATAAGAGGAAAGACCACAGTTCAGTAATGCCTGCTTTGTATAGGTGTAACTGGTTACTCAACAGGAAGAAAAATTTTCCAAAATATTTTTCCTATTTCATGTGGCTTTGAATACTAGAACTGATGTAATACATAAATAATTTAAATTCATAGGATTAAATAAAAAAAAAATTCAAGACTCTATACGAGTCATCTTAATTTTCTTTGAAGAGGGTAGTATGCAAAATGATGCTGAAAAACCATTGTGGTTTCTTTAAAGACTCATTTTTAATTCACTAGGGAGCTTTATCATCAAAACCTATAGTTATTGCTATTAATCTTGTTTTTCTTGTAAATTTGAATTTAATCATTGATAACATCCTTTATATGCCATACCACCAACCCATCATTACCTGAAATATGATATAAACTCAGGGAAAAGGCAATATCATGTAAATTCATATACACATACAGGCACAAAGTATAAACATTTACATATGCATATTTCTAAAAGGATGAGTCAATAAAAACCTTTGCACTGGTAATAGTGGAGCAAGTTATTAAAAATATATATTTTTTTAAGTGGCTTTAAATTGAGGGCATGTACCACAATTGAGCGAATCATTAAGGATTGCATAAATCTGTATCGAGAATATTGTTGAAGGTATTCTAAAACAAGATGAAATGCAAGGTAATAGAAAAGTAATGTAAAATAATACTCTGCAAATATGATCCACATGATCCAAATATAAAGTGTAACACTGAATTATGTTCTAGCCATAAATATGAAAAAATATTCTTTGATGAGTATGTGTGAATGGCTTTCAGTGAAAGTCATTACAATAGGCTATTAATTAAACTCTATAGGAAACAAATGCTCTCATCCTTCTTTTTCCAGCAGGGATTTAAAGAGCTTTTAAAGAAGCCTGCTAAATTTTTAAAGGAAAATTTTATACACATTGACTTCATTTATGATTTTGTGGAAAGCTTTGGTTTTCCTTAATAAATATACCATTGCAGAGAGACGATCCAAGATGGCCAAATAGGAACAGCTCTGGAGTGCAGTTCCCAGTGAGAATGCAGAGTGTGAGTGATCACCGGATTTCCAAATGAATTTTTACTGCCCACAGACCAGGAGATTCCCAGGTGGAAAAGCACCACAAGTCTCTAGCATGGCTGTTTCAGCCACGCAGCAGGTCTCCACACAAAAACACACAAATCTGGGTGTCCTTTCAACTGGCGCTTGGAATGCCTGGGAGAGAGAGAGTCACCCATTCAACTGAAAAAAAAAACAGAGAGCCAGGTAATCTGTCTTGGAGGATCCCACTCCCACAAAGACCAGGGGTCTGAAACACTCTGGATTGAGAGTTTCACAGCAAGCACAGCTGGAGCCAGGATGATCCAGCTCTGTGGGAGAAAGGCGTCCACCATTACCGAGGCAGTCCACGACTACCAAGACAATCCGCCATTACCATTACTGAGGCAGTCCACCATTACTGAGGCAGCCTGCCATTACCGAGGCAGCCTGCTATTACCGAGGCAGTCCGCCATTACTGAGGTAGTCCGCCATGTACTGAGGCAGTCCGCCATGTACAGAGACAGTCCGCCATTACTGAGGCAGTTCTAACTATACCTCTATAAACAAAACCACAAGGAAGTTAATATAGCAGTTGGGCAGAGACCACAGCAGCTCAGCAATGCCTCTGCTGGCAGACTGTGACTAGGCTACCTCCTCATAGGGCATCTCTGAAAAAAGGCAGCAGAATGACAGGAAATTATAAATAAAGTCCCACCTTCCCAGGACAGAGTACCTAGGAAGAAAGGTGGTTATGAGTTCTGCTGCAGCAGACTTATATGTACCTGCCCAGCAGCTCCGAACAGAGCAATGGAGCTCAAAGCTCAGCACCTGAGACACTATAAGGGACAGACGGTCTCCTCAAGCAGCTCTACAACCCCCATATATCCAAAGAGACACTTCATAAAAGAGAGCACAGGCTGACATCTTGTGGGTATCCTCCTGGGACAAGATAACAGAAGAAGAAACTGGCAGCAACCCTTACTGTTCTGCAGCTGCTGCAAGTGATCCCCAGGCAAGTAGGGTCTGGAGTGGACCTCCAGCAGTCCTACAGCAGAGGGGCCTGACTGTTAGAAGAAAAAGTAAAATACAGAGAGAAAAAACTTCATCATTAACAAACAGGATGCCAATTCAGAGATACCATCTGAAAGTCACCAACTACAAAGACCACAGGTAGATAAATCCACAAAGATGGGAAGAAACCAGCACAAAAAGGATGAAAACACCCAAAACCAGAAGGCCTCGTCTCCTTCAAGGAATCACAACTCCTCACCAGCAAGGGAACAAGGCTGGATGGAAATGAGTCTGATGAATTGACAGAAACAGGCTTCAGAAAGTGGGTAATAACAAACTTCTCAGAGCTAAAAGAACTTGTTCTAACCCAAAGCAAGGAAACTAAGAACCTCGAAAAAATGTTTGGCAAAATGCTAACAAGAAGAAACAGCTTAGAGAAGAATATAAATGACTTCATGGAACTGAAAAACACAGCATGAGAACTTTGTGAAGCATACACAAGTTTCAATAGCTGAATAGGCCAAGCAGAAGAAAGGATATCAGAGATTGAAGATCAACTCAATGAAACAAAATGAGAAGGCAAGATTAGAGAAAAAAGAGTGAAAAGAAATGAACAAAGCCTCCAAGAAATATGGGATTATTTGAAAAGATCTAATCTACGTTTGATAGGTGTACCTGAATGTGACAGAGAGAATGAATCCAAGCTGGAAAACACTCTTCAGATTATTATCCAGGAGAACTTCCCCAACCTAGCAAGGCAGACCAATATTCAAGTCCAGGAAATATAGAGAACACCATAAAGGTATTCCTCAAGAAGAGCAACCCAAAGGCACATAATCATCAGATTCACCATGGTTGAAATGAAGGAAAAAATGCTAAGGGCAGTCAGAAAGAAAGGCCGGGTTACCCACAAAGGGAAGCCCATCAGACTGACAGGGTATTTCTCTGGAGAAACCCTACAGACCAGAAGAGAATGGGGGCCAACATTCAACACCCTTAAAGGAAAGAATTTTCAACCTAGAATTTCATATCCAGCCAAACTACGCTTCATAAGCCAAGGAGAAATAAAATCCTTTAGGAATGCCTGGGAGAGAGAAATAAAATCCTTTCTTCTGCTTGGCCTATTCACCTATTGAAACTTGTGTGTGCTTCACAATTTCTCAGAGATTTAATCACCAACAGGCCTGCCTTAAAAGAGCTCCTGAAAGAAGCACTAAACATAGAAAGGAACAACCGGTACCAGCCACTCCAAAAATGTCCCAAATGGTAAAGAGCATTGACACTATGAAAAAAATGCATCAACTAATGGGCAAAGCAACCAGCTAGCATCAAAATGGCAGATCAAATTTACACATAACAATATGAACCTTAAATGTAAATGGGCTAAATGCCCCAATCGAAAGACACAGACTGGCGAATTGGATGAAAAGTCAAAACCCATCAGTGTGCTGTATCCAGGAAACCAATCTTACATGCAAGGATACATATAGAATCAAAATAAAGGGATGGAAGAAGATTTACCAAGAAAATGGGAAGCAAAAAATAAGCAGGAGCTGCAATTCAAGTCTCTGATAAAATAGACTTTAAACTAAAAAAGATCAAAAGAGACAAAGAAGGGCATTACATAATGGTAAAAGGATCAATGGAACAAGACGAGCTAGTGATCCTAAATATATATGCACCCAATATAGGAGCACCCAGATACATAAAGCAAGTTCTTAATGACCTACAAAGAGACTTAGACTCCCACACAATAATAGTGGAAAACCTTAACACCCCACTATCAATATTACACAGAGAACAAGACAGAAAATTAACAAGGATATCCAGGACTTGAACTCAGACCTGGACCAAGCAAACCTAATAGACATTTACAGAACTCTCCACTCCAAATCCACAGAATATGCATTCTTCTCAGCACCACATCACACCGACTCTAAAATTGACCACATAATTGGAAGTAGATCACTCCTCAGCATATGCAAAAGAACAGAAGTCATAACAAACAGTCTCTCAGACAACAGCACAATCAAATTAGAACTCAGAATTCAGAAACTAACTCAGAACCACACAACTTCATGGAAACTGGACAACTGGCTCTTCACTATTGACTGATAAACAATGAAATGAAGGCAGAAATAAAGATGTTCTTAGAAACCAACGAAAACGAAGACACAATATACCAGAATCTCTGGGACACATTTAAAGCTTGTCTAGAGGAAAATTTGTAGCAATAAATGCCCACACGAGAAGCAATGAAAGATCTAAAATCAACACCCTATCATCAAAATTGAAAGAGCTAGAGGATCAAGATCAAAAAACTCAAAAGCCAGCAGAAGGCAAGAAATAACTAAGATCAAAGCAGAACTGAAGGAAATAGAGACACAAAAACCCTTCAAAATCAGTATATCCAGGATCTATTTTTTTGAAAAGATCAACAAAATAGACAGACCACTAGCCAGATTAATAAAAAAAGAGAGAATAATCAAATAGATGCAATAAAAATGATAAAGGGGATATCATCACCAATTCCACAGAAATACAAACTACCATCAGAGATTACTACAAACAACTCTATGCACATAAATCAGTAAACCTGGAAGAAATTGATAAATTCCTGGACACTTGCACCCTCCCAAGCCTAAACCAGGAAGAAGTTGAAACCCTGAACAGACCAATAATAAGAGCTGAAGTTGAAGCAGCAATTAATAGCCTATCAATCAAAAAAAGCCCAGGTCAGGATGGGTTGATAGCCAAATTCTACCAGACATACAAAGAGGAGCTGGTACCACTCCTTCTGAAACTATTCCAAGCAATGCAAAAAGAGGGAATCCTTCCCCAATCATTTTATGAGACCAACATCATCCTGATACCAAAACCTGGCATAGACTCAACAAGAAAAGAAAACTTCAGGCCAATATCCATGATGACGATAGATGCAAAAATCTTCAATAATATACTGGCAAACGGATGGCAATAGCACATCAAAAAGTTTATCCATCATGGTCAAGTAGGCTGATCCCAGAGATGCAAGGCTGGTTCAACATATGCAAGTCTATAAATGTAATCCACCACATAAACAAAGACAAAAAACACATGATTATCTCAATAGATGGAGAGAAGGCCTTAGACAAAATTCAGCAGCCCTTATGCTAAAAACTCTCAATAAACTAGGTATCAATGGAACATATCTCAAAACAATAAAAGCTGTTTATGATATACCTATAGCCAATATCATACTGAATGGGCAAAAACTGGAAGCATTCCCTTTAAAATCTGGTACTAGACAAGGATGCCCTCTATCACCACTCCTATCCAATATAGTTTTCGAAGTTCTAGTCAGAGCAATCAGGCAAGAAAAAGAAATAAAGGATTTTCAATTAGGAAAGGAGGAAGTCAAATTGTCTCTCTTTGCAGACAGCATAACTGTATGTTTAGAAGATGCCATCGTCTCAGCCCAACATCTTCTGAAACTGACACGTAACTTCAGCAAACTCTCAGGATACAAAATCAATGTGCAGAAATCACAAGCATTCCTATACACCAATAACAAACTTAAAGAGAGCCAAATTAAAATGAACTCCCATCCACAATTGCCACAAAGAAATAAAATACCTAGGAATACAACTAACAGAGGATATAAAGGACCTCTTCAAGGAGAACTACAAACCACTGCTCAAGGAAATGAGAGGGCACAAACAGATGGAAAAACATTCCATGCTTATGGTTAGGAAGAATCAATATTGTGAAAATGGCCATACTGCCTATAGTAATTTATAGATTCAATGCTATCCCCATCAAGCTACTATGACCCTCTTCCCCGAACTGTAAAAATCCACCTTAAACTTCATATGGAACCAAAAGAGAGCCCGCATAGCCAAGTCAATTCTAAGCAAAAAGGACAAAGCCAGAGGCATCACGCTACCTCACTTCAAACTATACCACAAGGCTACAGTAATCAAAACAGCACAGTACTGGTACCAAAACAGAGATATAGACCAATGGAAC